AGTGATGAGACAAGTTAACATAAGTGTCTCTTAAAATATATGGAAAATGTTTCCTTATGGTCACCCAGGACACGCTTCTCTGCAGTAGAGTCTACATTTCCTTTAGCTCCCTGAAGCCTGAAAGGGTTTGGCGATGTCTTAGGCTAAGAGCAAATCATGAAGAAAAAGATGGGGTAAATAATATACATCTCTAGGTTGCTCCTTAAAGAGACAAGAGAAGTCACACTGGCAAAGTCTACCTGGTTCCAACAGTTGGCAGAACATTTCAAAACAGGAAGGACTTGGGTTTCAGTCCCAGCTCTACCACTTACTGACTGGGAAAGCTGGCCTGTCAATCAGCTTACTTTTATCTGCTAAGTGAATATTAATACTATTTCAAAGGAATAATCTGAGTACTAAGAGAGAATGGATGTAAAGCATTTGGCACATAAAAAGTACTTAATAAATAAATAATAGTTGGATAGCCTGTACCCCACAAAAAATGAAGGGAGGAAGGGAGGAAAGAGAGGGAGAGAGTGAAGGAGAGAAGGAAGGAAGCCAAAGGAACAACAAAAGTGTCTTAAGGCATCTATCCATTCAAATCCAGTGCCAGTGGTTGTCATCCAGGGACCTTTTACCCCAGAAGATATTTAGCAATGTCTGGAGACTTTCAGTTGTCACTAGGGGAGAGCTAGCTAGTAGCATCCAGTAGATACAGGCCAAAGTTGCTGCTAAACATTCTACAATGCACAGAATAGTGTCCCAAAGAATATCTAGTCCAAAACAACATCGGTGTCAATATGAAGAAATCCTGCGAGCATTATTTGGAGCTCAATCTAGAGAGCTCCTTCCTCTTTTAGCTTTATTTTACTCAGCAATATGGAAATACCATTATCTGTGCTCTCTACCTCACCAAGCTATTTAGAGCATCAAATGAAATGGTGGAGATGGGTGAGAGGCATTTTCCTCATCATTTTCTTTTACAACATATACAAAAGTACCAACTTACTGAGCTAAGCTGGCAGTTTTCAAATACCAAGGAATCCCTGCGATCAGTGAACATGGGAGGATATGAGGTATAATTCTCTGATAATGCCACTGTTCAAAGGGAACTCTTGTCTACTCAGTCTGAACACGGGACTTTCATGAATAGTAAATGGGACAGGAATATGTCTCAGGGAGAGGAAGAAGCAAGATGGAGTGTGGGAAGTGGATGGAAACAGGACAAGCATATCAAAGAGGAACTGACAGATGTTAGGGAGTGAGACTTTGCTTGGTGTCAGTCTATTTGGGTCACAAGGAAATAACACAGATCCAAAGACTTACAGCAGAAAGTTAGTTGCTCACAGTTCTGGAAGTCGCAAAGTTTAAGATGGAGGTTGTGGCTCAGTTCAGTCTCTGATGAGGGCTCTTCCTGCTTCACAGATAACAGCCTTCTCACTGTCCCCAGTGCTGGGATTATAGGCATGCGCCACCACTGCCCAGCATGATGGTTAGTTTTAATTGTCAGCTTGAAATGCTTTAGAATCACCTGGGAAGGCAGTCTTGATGAGGAATTGATTATCTAGACTAGGTTGGTCCCGTGTTCAGACTGAGTAGACAAGAGTTCCCTTTGAACAGTGGCATTATCAGAGAATTATACCTCATATCCTCCCATGTTCACAGGTTAACAGGGGGAGGCCACCAACCCTCAGATGAGTCACTATATTTCTGCCCTTATTGAATTTTAATCACTTCTGTAAAGGTCTGTCTTAGGTTTGTACTGTTGCTACAATAAAAACACCTGACAAAAGCAACTCAGCAGAGAAAGGTTTGGTTTTAGCTCACAAACCAGGTTATCCATTATCACTGGGATGTCAAGAGCAGAGAGAGTGAGAACACACATGCTTGCAGTGCTCAGCTTGTCTTCTCCTTTTTCAGATAGTCCAAGACTCAAACCCAGAGAATGGCGCTGCCTACTTGTAGGTTGTCTTCCCTAATCATTTAGCACAATCAAGACAATTCCCCACAGTGATGCCCATAGACCAACCTAGTCTAGATAATCAATTCCTCATCAAGACTGCCTTCCCAGGTGATTCTAAAGCATTTCAAGCTGACAATTAAAACTAACCATCATGCTGGGCAGTGGTGGCGCATGCCTATAATCCCAGCACTGGGGAGGAAGAGCAGGTGGATCTCTGTGAGTTCAAGGCCAGCCTGGTCTACAGAGTGAGTTCCAGGACAGGCTCCAAAGCTACACAGAAGAAACCCTGTCTTGAAAAACAAACAAACAAAACAAAAACAAAAAACTAACCATCACAAGGCCTCCTCTCCAAAAGTCACATGTGGTGTGGGTTAAAGTTTCTGTGCATAAAATTGTGGGGGGACGACACAATTCATTCTATAATGTTAAGGCACACATCAGACCTAGCTGAAACATCCTTGTAGTCTTAGAAAGGTTCAGACATTACTCCAGGGATTTTCTTTGTGTAAATTATGTGTATGTGCCTTTGTGGGAATATGTGCATGAGCATGCAGGTGTCCATAGAGGCCAGAAAAGGGCATCAGATCTCCTGGAGCTGGAGTTATAGGCAGTTGTGAACTGCTCAACCTGGATGCTAGGAACCCAACTCACATCCTCTGCAAGAGCAATATACATTCTTTACTGTTGAGCCATCTGTTCAGCCCCAATTCAGTACTTTTCTATAGGCACAACCACCATGCCTTTCCTTCTCCAACTGCCCTTTCTGTGATGTACACAGGCAACTGACTTCTGCATTTAATGCCTCCTCAGCCATCTTGTGGCTTTTCAGGGCCAGGGAAGGGCATTTATTTGTGTCTCAGTCTTCAAATATCTGAAGTCAATGGGGCCATTTTTCTAACACTGGCCAATCAAAATCAACTATGGTCCAGTCTCAATCTTGGGAGCTTTTAAAGATGCTGAACAGCCAAGACATGGCATAAATGAGAATCCAGAGTTCAAGGCCAATCTGAACTGCACAGTGAAACCCTGTCTCAAAACAACAATGAAGATGATGGGGGTAAGTAGCTTTGTGGATGAACACTTGACAATCATGTAAAAGATCCTTGGTTCAATCCCTGTTATGAAGAAAACAACTAAACTATATACCTGACCAGTCCAGTAAGGTACTAGTTGGGAGGGATGACTCAGCATCAGTGATTTTTACATCTCCCCAGGTAATTCCAATGAGAAGCCAAAGCTGACACCTACTGACCACAGTCTTTACCCCTCAGACTGGTCTGGGACCTTCATTTTTAAACAATCCCTTACCTGATGGTTAGCAAGATTGAGTGCAGGTTATTTAGTTACTGAAGCTAAACGGTCTGCTTTCTCCTGCCTTGAGAATATTCATTTCTGTGGCCAGACATGAGCTTTACAACTGTAGGTTTTAGTTCCTTCCTCCTCTTCCTGCACATTATTTTAGGTACAATCCTCCTTATACATAGAAAGATGATACTTAATGGATAGAGATTTCTGGAAACATGTTGGGGGAGGGCAGCAGAAGTCAAGAGGGTGTTAAAAAGTATAGACTGCCAAAGGAGAGAACATGAAGTCTAGTGAAAGTCAAAGGAAGGAGTGACAGAGAGAAGAAGTCACAGGGATAAGTATGGGGCTGGCAGGATGAATATAATTTAGTAAAAACTGTAAGTCAGCAAATGTTATAAAGAGCCTTGCTTCGGACAGACAAAGATCATTAGCATCAACATTGTTTAGTGCTCTCACCCTTCCCCACCCACTCACCTTATCCACACACTCTCTCAATTTTTTCTTTTAAGGATGTTATGAACTCACACCAAGCTATAAAGTACTTTGACAGAAGACTAGGACAATAAACCAAAAGAACAGTGTAGGAAAGCGTTTCGGATGTGTATACTGAACAGGGAGGACAAGAGGGATCTATTTGTCTTGATGTTTGGTACCTCACACCATGCCTTGTATTTGGTGAGTCCTAGTGGCTGTCAACTATGCCATTCATCATGAAATTCTCTAATGCTAAAAAAAAATGTTGTATATTCTGTCAGGCATGGCAGTACATGCCTTTAATCCCAGCACTAAGGAGGCAGGGGCAGGTAAATCTCTTAAGTTCAAGGCCAGCCTGGTTTACACAGGGCTATACATAGAAACCCTATATCAAAAAACCAACACCCCTACCACCAAAAAATGAGGTATACTACTGACACCTATCTCTGATGAAAATGGTGATGTTGACCAAAAGGTCACATTGTAGACTTAACAAATTTTAGGAGAGCATTGTAGCCTGTATCTATCACTAACCATGCGTGTTAAAATCTCCTTATAGAAACTAAAAGGTAAAGCATTTGGATCCTAAATCCAATGGCACCTTTACACTTTATATTTAAATTGGCCACATTATTTTTTCCCTTTTAGATCTCTATAAAGTAGGAAAACTTCAAAAAAAAAAATGACTGCATATTCTCGTGGAAAAGAAAAGGTAGGGAGACACCAAAGAGTAGGTTAAGAAATGAGTTTTTACAAATATTCCCTGTTGTATGGTATTTTGTTTGTGTTCTGACAAATAAAGCTTGCCTGGAGAACAGAGAAGCAGAGAAGCAGCAACAGTCACTTCTTATCTCTCTGGATCCTCTGACCGAATGGGGTGAGCCCCTCCTGTCTCCATGAATCCTCAGACTGAAGGGGCAGCCGAGATCCTATCTCACCCATCTTATATTCCTGTCTCCACCTCCCCAGTGCTGGGATTAAAAGTATGAGCCACCACTACCTGGCTCTGATTCTCTTTTAGACTGGTTCAATCTCTTGTAGCCCAGGGTGGCCTTGAACTCCTGATTTTCCTGCTTCCTCCTTCCAAGTGCTGGGATTAAAGGTGTGTGCCACCATTGCCTGGCCTCTTTGGTTAACTATTGGCTAACTCTGCCCTCTGGTCTCCAGGCATTAAAAATCAAGCTAATATTTTACCTAGTATTCTGATGATATAAGAAATTAATTAATAGCAGAAGAAAACCATCTGTATATATTTTAGCTAAAGCAAAACAGTCTTTACCTTATCATTTAGAAGTGGTTTGATCTCTGTGAGTTGAACATCCTGAAGTTCATCCATGAGGATGGCTTAGAGTAGATAAGTCTCAAGAATGAACCAGTAACTCTGAAACAGAAGAGATGGAAGAGAAGACAGATGCTCAAGCTGGTGTTGGAAACATAACACGTTATTCATTCAGATACTGGAATTTGCTCTGTGTATATCATGTACTGTACAGGGGGCAGCAGACACATAGTGGAGGCAGACAGACTCTCAAATGGACTATGTTATTCTTCTCCTCTGCTATTCATACCTTTCCACAGCTTCCCATCTCCCCTCCCCAGCCCTAATGTGGGGAGGATCTGTACCTTGCTTTTGACTAACAGAATGAGGGAAATGTAATAGAATGTACATGAATACTTTTAAGGGTTACATTACAAAATATCTTAACATCTGTCTTGCTGAAAGATGATCTGCCCTGTTGGCTTTGTTGAGCCAGCTGACACGCTCTAAGATGGCCATGAGGCAGGGAACTAAGCTCAGCTTCCCTTAAGCCAGCAAGGAGGGAAAAAAAGAAAGCGAGACCCTAGGTTCAGTATCTCTACAAGAAACTGAATACTGCCAACAACCACATGACTCTGGAAACAGATTCTTCCCCAATGGAGAATCAGCTGAGAGGTAAACCAAACTGACACCTTGTTTGCAGCCTTACAAAGGATCCATGATGCCTTGAGATAATAAAGGTGTGTGGTTTTAGATTACTAAGTCTGTGGTGATATTTTAATGAAGTAACAACAAATCCAATAGACTTTGCACTCATGCAGTATATATCTTGGTTCTTAAAGATGGGTAAGAGAACAACATTCTCAAACTATGCTCTGGAAGCAACCATGTGGAGAGTGGGTTAAGGAAGGTTAACAACTCAAAGTTAATGATGTAGAATAGGACCCTGAATTAATAATAACAATGGCAATGAAGAGGAAATAAATAAACAACTATTTACCAAGGAATCACAGCATGGATAGGAGGATGGTAGCTGACTTCTGAGATGGCCTTCTATGAGTTCCATGATCCCTGATTCTTGATATTCACACTCACTTATAATCTCCCACCCAAATAAACCAGGAATGACCTACATTACTCATAGAATATGAGGGAAGTACATAATAAAATGTGACTTTTTAGAGTTCTATTACATGGGCATTGTAGTTTGAGCATTGTAGTTTGAGCATGGGCATTGATGTTGAGCTTCTATTGCCAAGAGAGAAAACTAGTATAGTGTGAGGGCATACACAGACCTCTGGAGGTCCATGTGGAAGGGATTAACACATCAGTACTAACCTGCTAGCCATGTGAGTGATCTTGCAAATGAATCCTAAAGCCCCAGTCAAGAATTTAGATGATTAAGCCATAGAAACATCTGACAGCAACCATACGAGACATTGTCCAGAACTGCTCTGCCAAGCCTGTTTCTGTGTTTCTGACTCACAGAAACTATAAAAAATAATAAATAATTTTGTTTTGAAGTGATATGTTATATAGCAATAGGTAACCAGTAAAGGGAATAAATTGTGGAATTCAAAGAAAGGAAGCCGCCTAGAGGGAGATAAGGTAGCTAACCAGAAAGCTTTCCTTCACCCCACCATACAGTCATGGGTAGACTGAACACTGGATACTGCAGGCACATGATTCTCACCCTGACTTCAAAGGTCTAGACTTTCTCCCTTTTCTCTTGTCCCTGGATCCATCAAATCAGCAAAAATGCTAATTCAATGAGTTTGGGATGTAGCCACTCAACATCACTTACTGGGGACCTACTGTGCAAAACACTGGGAAAGATCAGAAGGGAATAAAAGAACAGAGATGACAATGGTTTATAAAATGATAAATAAAAATAAGAGACAGAGTTCCAAGTGGAAACAATTGCTTCTAATTGGTGAGAATTAAGAAGGCCTCAGAAGAGATTGGTGTGTTACAGATGCTGGACTCATGATGGAATTATATCTGATTAAACCCACTGTGAACTGAAATTAGACAAAATGATTGAATACAGCTCTCCTACTAAACATCACAGCTTAGCAATGCAGTACACTACAGTGTATCTGCTGCTTTTCCCCATGCTCACACGATTGGTGATGAGGATTGCTGCCTCTGTCCAGCATGACAAGAGGCATTGTTCTACATATCACTAGCCTAAGAAACAGGTAGAAACTCAAAGCTCAGAAGGTATAGCTACTTTTCTAGCACACATGTGACCCTGGGTTCAATCTCCAACTCTGAAAAAAAATGGCCTGAAATTTACTCAATTTTTGTCTTTGTTTTGTTTTTTTGAGACTCAATTTTTGTTTATTAATCATACAATAAACTGTGGCTGCTTTTCATTTGGACTTTATATGACCATTCAGACCAAGTGAAAATAACAGAATAATGAAAAGATACTTTACTGACAGTTTTTCCATGTAAAGATAAACCTTTTACTACTACTGGCAAGGCAGAGCCAGGAGGACCAAAAGTCTGATGCCATCCTGGGCTCCACAGGAAGAACCTGTCTCAAAATAAACACCAATTTTAGTTTGCCCCCATGATGTTCTTTTTTTTTCACATGTAAAATGGTGATTTCCTGACATTGTGTTTTCCATACCACCTGCTTTATTTCCTAGTTCAATTCACTCACAAGAAAGCAGCACCAACTTCATTGTGGGTGGGTGGGCCCGTCAGGGAACCTCAGGTTCAAAATCAAGACATCCGCTTACTGCTCCCCTGCATTTTTTGTTTGTTTTCTAAGGCAGGGTTTCATATAGTCCAGGCTAGCCCCAAACTTGATATGTATCTGAGACTGTCCTTGAATTATTCATCCTTCCGATATTAAGTGGTGGGATTACAAGCAAGTGTCACCATGCCTGGCCATCTCCTGCTTCTACAACAGGAGAAAGTGAGATATCTGTGCCAGCACACTTAGATGCAAACTACAGAAGACTGTCCCCCTAGCTGGGCAGACTAAGGAAGGACTGCTGGAGTTGCTCCAGGGTTATTTAGAAATTGGCAAGAAGACAGGAGCATTCACCTTCCACATATGAAGGGACCTACTGCATTCTTTTTCCATCTTGGGCCCTTGCCAGTGAGCAGTTTTATAATATCTATAAGAAAAGTAAGATCACATGGTGGAAAACTCCATCTCCAGATCCCTCAGCTGCACAGACTGGCTCCCTCCTGGGGATCTGTGGCCTGCAGTTCCGGCATCTCTTGCCAGGTCCCATCCTGGCACAGAAAGGTTGGTATATTTTCAAAAGGTTGGTAAAGATTTCATAAGCTACAGTAGACAACAAATGTTTGCCCTCTTTCCTAGTCTAGAAAGGAAGTAAGAAGAGTGTTAAAACCCAGGCACCCTTCAACTGAAGGAAAAGGAGAGGGGCAAAAGTAGGCACCAACTGCATGCCCAGAGTTCTCTAAGCATCTTATGGTTAACTCTCACATCAGTCTTCCCAGGGAGATATTTTCATTTATTTTATAAGCAAGAAACTTAGGCTTGGACCAGTTTTCGGAAATTCTACGTGTAAGGGATAAGGAAATGACTTATTTTTTTTTCTTTCTCCACTATATAATAATGTCTGTACCAGGCCCCACTAGCTGGTTATGGGAACCTGGATCAGTTCCTTCCTCTCCACCCACACGATGGCACCCCCTTGAGGTAAAGTCGATGGAAGCCTAAAGTAATTTTATACATACCAACAATGACTCAGACCCCTTGGAAATGGAGGTTTGAGTCATCACATGAGGATAAGAACTCATTCTTTCAGTAGCTAATTCAGGGCAAGGAGAATATAAAATAAGAAGAGGGGAATTAAATTCCAGCTATTTCTTGGTAGCCAGTTTTAGAAACAAGGGCTACTTTTCACTTGTTAAAATTGTGTGCTTCAACCTTTAATGTACACTCTCCTGGGGCTTTTTATCAGTTTTGAGGGAGAATAGTCTAGCATATGATCCACCACTAAGGACTGAGATCACCTGAGATGAGAGGGTGGATTGAAGGAGCGATCACTGACAACATCTTTACTAGAGATAGTGAGATGGGCAGAGACTGTATTATTTTCATTCGCCATCTTCCAAGAAGAATATATTCACTATTCTTTATATAATAAACTATATGGATTTCAAAAGACTCAATAGACCAGATCAACTAGAAGGAGAATACGCCAGAAAGAACGGTTTTTAGGAAAGGCAACAGTCTTTGTGAGTTCAAGTCCAGTCGGGTCTACAAAGTGAGATCCAGGACAGGCTCCAAAGCTACACAGAGAAACCCTGTCACAAAGAAGGAAGAAAGGAAGGGAGGAAGGAAGGAAGGAAAGAAAGAAAGAAAGAAAGAAAGAAAGAAAGAAAGAAAGAAAGAAAGAAAGAAAGAAAGAAAGTCCAGAGATGCAAAATGCAAGCCTTTGTCCACTCAGAAAGTAGAAGCCTGGAGATACATGGACACTTATTGTGCCAAAGAGTCCATAAGGACATCAGGAGTGTACTTCAGACCTAGGCAGGACCATAACTGGCTGAGTGACACTGGGCAAAGCATTTTTCCTGTCTAGGCCTCAGTTTCTCTATCTGTAAAGGAAAGAAGTTGGGCAGAATGATCTTTTTGTGTCCTGGACAGGACTGACATTCTGACTTCTCCATAAATGTGGTACTTCATATTTTCCTCAGGGTGAATGCTCACCTTATAATTCATATTTTACTGCAATTCTAAGAGGTCAACCAATTAGCAACCTAGTATGAATCAAGAACTTGGTAAAGGTCACTCAGCAAATCAGCAGGCAGGTACATTTGGTCTGACTCAAAGGAACACGGGAGTCTGTGCTGTGAAATTTCTAGCCGTTAAAAACATTTTTTAAAGCAGTAATAAAGTACTGTCTTATTTCATAGCATTCTCCCATGACCAAAGTAATTTGTTATCTTTGGCTCTGTCTGGACATACTGACACCAAGATACTCATTTGTATTCTAGGGGCAAAGTCAATCACTTTTGGTTTTGGCAAGATTGCAGACAGATTACCAAAACAGAATGAAGGGAGCAAACACGAGGCACAGTAAGGGAGAATGAGCTGGAAGGAGTCAGTTGCAGCTAGTCCTGAAGCAGTTACA